GAGTTCTTATATCATTCCTTTTAAATTTTAGTAGTCGGTTTGTGCGACTCACGCTCCATTCCTGCCACGTTAGTCTGCTGGTTGTGCAGGTTATTGATTGTCTCCACCGAGACTCAGCTATATTTATAGCATGTTCGCTGATTAAGTGTTTGCAAGTTGCCAGAGGCATAAAGATACCCTCTTTTTCAGGGGATAGTTGCAAAGTGGTGCCTATTCTGGCTAGTTCATCTGCTTCGCAGTTACCAGGAATATCGCTATGTCCTGGAACCCATTGCAGGTTTATTGTGAAGTAGGATGTCAGATCCTCTAATAGATCAAGACAATCTTTCACTAACTTGGATGAGACCATTGGAGACTTGAGTGATTTCAAGGCCGCTTGGCTATCCGTGTATATATACATGCTCCTTGTTGTGAGCACACTTTTTGTCTATACCACTAGGCTTTCTTTAATTGCTGTGATCTCCGCCTGGAAGACACTGCAGTGGTCTGGCAAACGGAAGGCGATATTGGTGTTTAATGTTGCGCAAAAGACACCACCTCCCACTCGATGATCCAGTTTGGATCCATCCGTGTAGATGCTAATTCCTGCGCCTCCCGTCCACTCCTGCCCCTTCAGCTCCTATCTTGTGGGGAAGCGCTATATTGTGGGACCTGAATTTTACATCCGTTCTATTGGATTGTGAAATGCCAGTTTTGGGTAGGAACGGGAATATACTAGTATCCTGACGCCCTTGTTGCATGCGACTAGAGGATTCCCTCAGTCTAAGAGCTGACTTTGCCACTTGTTTTACAGAACAGGTCTGTTGGCTAAGTCGTAGAATGACGTTAAGAGCCTGGTTGGTTGTTTAAGAGGTCCACTAATGCATATACTGGCTGCTTTCGATAGCTTTCCATACGCTTTCAGCGTATTTTCCATTTTCCACCATACCAATATACCGTATGTCATGATTGGTCGGATACTGCTGGGAGCAATAAGTTACCCGAGGGTAAGTCCCATTAGCCTAACCATTCTTTTAGGCAGAGTGCTGTTGCCTTCACCCTGGCATCTCACAGTTTTTTCCAGAAAGCTTCCTGCTAAGATACTTGGTCCGGGTGCTTGCCTTATCTCATGTTAGTCTGCAACCATTTATTATTATGCCGTAATTAGAGCATTATGTTTTTGCAGTGAACAATACGAGCTCTGTCTTACCAGCATTTAAATTTAATCCCTATGATACTGCCCAGCGATTTATATCAAGGTCCAATATCGTTTGCATAAGGTCTGCGAGAGACGGAATTTGCCTCTGACCGATACGCTCATCGTCAGCGTAGGCAAAATGTACCCTTTCTTTTCTAGATCCATCAGACAACTTATTCATTGTCAGACCCAGAGAAGTGGGATAACACGCCTTGAGGTGTACCTCTTGACAGATCTGCACGTGACGCTCCATCGCTGAAATTATTGACTCGCTCGTTGAGCATCTGTTCAATTAATTTCCTGAGAGGTTCAGAGATGTCCAGTATCCTAAGCGCACTCAGCTATGGCTCCTAGGCTGGATATTATTGAAGGCTCCTTCTATGTCTAAGAAGGCAAAGAGTGTATTCTTTGACTTCGAAGATTTTTCAATCCTCCCACCACCGTGCTTAGTGCTGTTTCTGTGGATTTTCCTTTAGAATACGCATGCTGCGAACCACCACTTTTCTGGTTTCAGTTTTATTTCCTATATGTATCTATTAGTCTTTCCAGGATTTTAAAGGAAGAGAGAGAGGCTAATGGCTGAAGTCCTTTGACTGTATGCGAGCTTTGCCTGCCTTTGGTATGTATATTACCAGCGCCCCTTAAGAATGACATTAGCCAATTCATTATGTAATTCTGCGACTGCTGCAATTGAGCGGAATATACCGTCTGATCCCGGCGACTGAAGGCTTAAAGCGTTTATTGCCCAGCGTATGCTTGCTTGACACTCATGTTTTAGAGTGGGGCTGTCTTGAGTATATTCTGCAGTATGGCTATTTGAGCTGCCTGGGAAGTGGGTATCCATTAGTAGCCCCAAGGATTTCACTCGATACCGTCCAATCCGGTCTAGCTTCTAAGATAACGATACTATGCACCGATTGTGCCATTATTTTCCTAAGTCGACTTCCGCCGTGTTCTCGATGTCATTGCAAAACGATTTCCATGAATTTCTGTTTGCTCTCCTAACTTCCTTTTGTATGACCTAAGGAGGTTGTAATAATAATCCCAGTCTGACTCGCCTGGGATTGCTAGCTAAATTGAACTGCTTTCTGCATTCTTTCTGTAGCTTTTTAGTTCTAGAGACCACCAGGGGCCTTATTCTATCCCTGCTTCGTGTTTTGGACAAGTTACTGCGTTTGCCGGCACGATTCCGTCAGTCGATTAACGAGGATATCAGATCCTCCTTGCTATTGGCTGAAACGGTAGAATCATAGGGATACGTTTCTCTAGCTCTTGCATGTGCACCTGCCTGTTCTCCTTGATTCCTAAAGTTAGCCTCTATCGGCCTTTCCTCTATTGTACATCTGATATATCGGTGATCCGAAAAGGAATGTTCTTCGAGAACCCTCCATTGTACCCTGTCAATTAGTTCTTCCAAACAAGTGTGATATCCAGCACCTTGTCGGTTCCTTGTAATAAATGTTGGCTTCCTTATTACACACCAGTAATTTAGTACCTAGTAGGTAATTAAAGAGACACTCACCTCTGTCGTTTACATCTAGTTTTGTTCACCCAGATTGTGTGGATGCGCATTTGAGTCGCATCCAAGTATCGTCATGCACTTGATGCCTCCTATCCTACCACCTCTTTACCATCAGAGGTGGCACCAGCTCCTGCTCATACGGCATATAGCACGACACTAGCCGGTAACTGCTTGAGCCCTTCCCAGCCTTACTGCTGCTGTGTCGTTGTTGCTGTATATGTAAATAAAACATTAAGGTTTTCTTGCCATTATGCAGGCTCTGATTACCTTCACAGTTAGCCATCAGCAACCTATAGTTCGGCGTCTCATAGATCGCAACATTGCCCTATTAACCCATGGCTCCTGAATGAGGACAAATTCAGGCTGTTCCATTGCCACGCGGTTAATTAGGGCTGCTAAAGCTAGTTTGCTATGATGGAGATTAATTTGTAGAAGACGCATTAACTATTGTTATATCTGCGTCTTCCTGAGAGTCGCTTAAAAGCTCCTTCTCAGGATTTGGTCTCCACGCCAGATTCTGCTACGCTGTCCTCAAATGTCTTGACATACTTCCACCCTTCCTTGGGTAGGCTCGGGTTGCAGGCTCTTATGAGCTGCATAATTTGGTCCGGCTGTGATGGGGTAGCCGGAATCCATACCCTTGCCCTTGGTCTGGATGGTATGTCCTTCTTGTCCACTGCTACCAATTTTGCCCCGGGGTATACCTCTCCCACCTTGGCTATAGCAGCTTTGTATAGAGCGACCGATCTCTCGTCATCGCAAGCAATCATTTTAATCTGGCCCTGGTACCAGCCGGCATCTGCGCATGACGGTGGCGGGCCCGGATTGCTTAATAGCACTTCCAGCGCCACATTTGTCAGCGCAGCCTGCACCCATTTCCATTGGGCTCTGGGGATTCTTCCTTCGGGATCTCCCTCATCCAGAACGCCAATGACAATTCGGTTCCGGGCCGCTTCTGCAAATGATTTTGCAGGTGTTACACCCTTGGTCTTCGGTCTCTTAGCTGACGGCTTTTCCTCTTCAACTGACCTCTGTCGCTTGGCTGCCTTTACCGGCGGCTCCAACTTTAAGTTGGGTATGACTGCTCTCGCGCAGTCAATCGATGCTTGGAGCTCCTGCGTTAGCTCCTCTTTCGTTGGCGGCTTTAGCTCTACCAACCTTAGTAAGTATGCGGCGCGCCGTCTCTCCGCATATTTTGCCTTTGACGGTTCCTGCATGCTAAATGCAGGCCACTCCCTGGCAGATGCACTTCCGGCAGCAGCCCCTTTGGCATCTCCTCCCTCCCCCTGCTTCTCAGCCGTGTTTTGGCCGCAGGGTTTGGGTCTGGCTGCCTCCGGCGCTACCACTTTCTCTGGGCCAGCTTTAGCTTCTGCCCCTTTACTAGTGCTTGCCTTGTCTTCAGGACCAAGCTTCGCTCCTGTCCTCTTCGTGTTTGTTGAGCTCGCTCCAAACGCTGCTCTTTTATGGGAGCAACTCGCTCCCTCCGACTTTTTTCCTGGAGATACGGGCTCTCTCCGATTTTTTGTTTTCGTTATTTGTTTTTTTGTTTATTTGCGTTTTGGTTCATTGTTGGTCCAACGAGTGTGGGGGAAAGTATGTCCACTTGCGCATAGCCCCTGTTGCGCAAGTAAGGCTATCTTATTACGGAGGGCGCCAGGTATCCGTAAGCTCCGTTCGAGACTGGGCTATTTAAGGGCCCCCAGCCAGGTTGATCCTCGGCACGGGTCGCATGACATCTTGATCCAGCCCTTTACCCCCGACCATGGTAAGGCTCCTTATCTGTATGCTGTGCTATTGAGGAACATCGAACACACAGATAAGAAGTCTGACCTTAGCTAGACTCCTCACGTCTACGGCAGGGGCGGACTGTTACCAGCTCGTTCCCGCTTGTGTCGTGAATCTGTGGTATCTATTACCAGTCGGCACCCTCGGGGAGGGTTCAGTGGGGGATTTTTGCCGAGCCGTTGAAAATATTAATAGCGAGTATGTAAAACATTCTGATGGGTTAGTGAATTCCCGCCATAAGTTTTTCTTTGAAAATGTTAATAGGGGTATTCTAAATATTGTTCTATGTATCACAATCATGGTAATTCTTTGTAAGCAAAATGTGAGACCACTATCCCAACATGCTAACGGAATATGCAACACGATCTAAGTGTCGCGTAGCCGAACCGTACAAACAAATGCGAACATTTTGTGAAAAGGAATAACAGAAAAACTCTACTCGATTTATTGGACTCTTCGCTTTCCTCCTTAATGTTTTAAATTTCAAAAGTACGGTATATTTAGAACATTGTATCATTTTTGTATCTAAAACTAAACTGCTGATTTTGACTTTATGAATTATAAACCTTTTGACAAATTGTTGTTTTTGGGCTGAGAACACAATCTTATATATTTGAATCATGCTACTCACTAGCAACCTTAAGTAAACTATGATATCATCTATGCAGACATTATAGAATGTGTACCATTCAATGATCGATGTGGATTCAAATTACGCAGATTTCTATTAGAAAATGTACACTTACAGCCGCATCGATTGATTTAAAAGACGTCAGATAGTCTGACCAAAACAGTTGTATCTGGAAATTAATTTCGTCAACACCTACATATTGAGCTTCCAGTATAGCCCGATTACTGGGACAATTTTGATGCAAGCAATTACTTTGTTTGAACCAATTAATTACTTTCGTGTGAACAGCAGTCCAATATTTAGCAATTGTTCGGAAAATAATAGTATTAATGGTTCATTTTGCAATTGTACGCACATTTCTATGGTCAATCGAAGTGTTTTAAGACTTCCCCATAAGAACGATTGTTATAAACATATGTTAATCTCATCGACGAAAGTAGAGCGAGGCATAACTGCCAAGGTCTGTCGGAAATCACCAGACAGTAGTTAGACAATAATAATAGTAATAAACAAATAATTTGCAATAAATAATATTTCGCGACTATAAATTGAAATATAAACTATTCTAGCTAATGGGTTGGAACAAACTGTACAAAGTTCAGTACTTTTTGATGGACAAACAGCGTGACACGTCATTTATATAAAGATCAATTAGATATTTAAATAATTTTTCAAATTATATCTCATTTTGAATATTAAATATTAACTTAAATTTTTATATTATATGTTTCCAACTAAAAATTTAAGACTTTATTTATACGTACCAGCAAGTTTTCCTTAATACAATAATAAAACAATTTACATTCATATGTACATATGTATGTATATAGTGACTTTACAAAAAAAAAAAATCTACGCTCTTAACTTATCGACAAAAATATTGTTTCTAAAATAAAAATTTACCCCTTACAATTATATTCATAAGTACATTATATAAAAGGAAAACAACAAAATCTTAATGCAGTTGTATGTTTTCAATCGTTCGGAATACGAATAACTCGTTTATGGTGGTAAATTCGACATTATCAAGTCCATCGCGGCATGTCAAGAGCTTCTTTGCTGCCACACCAAGATAAATACAATACTAGGTTGAAGTTAAACAACATTGTGCCTGTATTGGTTCCTCTTTGACTAATAACATGCAAATTTTGAGTTCAAAATAAAAACATAGTATTATTTAATAGCGTAATATTTATGAATATATGTACACTTATATTAGTTTCATGAAGTACATATGGTTATGCTTTGTGCATCGTATACATATGGTATGTACATATATATTATATATAAATTAATATTTATAACATACGCTCATACTTATCTAGACACTTACACACGAACATTAATAAGATTTTGAACGAGCTCAGTTGCATTTTAGAACTGGTCTATAGATTTACAAAAAGATGATACTTAGTTAGAGATTATTTTAAACCAATTCGCGCTTTTTACTTCGTGTTTTAACCGAGTAACACAAAAATACTCATAATCTCTTTGATACCTTAGCTTATAACCGCAGTTTATTCCGATCTTTGTTTGGGAAAGGTTCTTAAGTGATAAGATCGTGTATAATAGTGCGTGCTTTTGGTTCTCAGTGCATTTTTCGAGGTTTTGGTGCGGATATTACATATTGTAAGGAATATAGCATATTGTAACAGGAATATAGCATATTCGCTCCACAGAATATACTCGTTAAAAATATCCATCCAAGAAAAGAAGTACGTTTTTATATTTTTCAAATTGAAGATAAAGTCATGAACAATAAAAGTATGGCAGATTTGTATAATATAAATATTTAACACAGTTAGACTGATTCCAAGCTACTTTTTTAATCGTCTATTTATTTTTTTCGCGTATATCTACTATCTTTTCAACATACTGATTTGAATTTCTATTTTTGTTGTTTACTTCCATTAGCTACAATACCCTATTGCTCATAGAGCTGAGGTATAAATAAATATATTCGAAAGTTAAAGAAAAAGAAAAAAATAGTCAGTATCAATAGTTTCTTATTTGTGTATATAAAATCGATCTATGTATGTATGAAAAAATAATGTAATTTAATAATAATTTATCTCAATGAATTTCAAAACTAAAATTAATTCAGGGAACAACATCAACTCGTTATGACCAACTTATTAAAAATAAATATTTCCTATATTGAATTATTTTGGAAATTTTGTATGAGATACAAATTTGGTGGTGGCTAACTTCCATAGCTTTTTATACCCTGAACAAGGTCTATTAAATTTGCAAAGAAATTTGTAACACACAGAAGAAACGTGGGAGACCCTATAAAATACATATATATAAATGATCAGCGTGAGGAGCTGAGTCGATATAGTCATGTCCATCTGTCTGTATATACGCCAACTATGTAGTTCCATAGTTTTTAGGCAATCGACCTAAAGTTCTTCACACCCTTTTCATCCCAAGAAGCTGTTTCTTCGTCGGAACCGCCGATATTGAACCTCTGAAGGAGGAGCTGCCATACAAACTGGCCGATCGAAATCAAATATTTCACATTTATTACCACTTGCTATAAAGGCAAAGCATAATTTCCGAACAAATTGTTCAGATCGGACCACTATATTATATATCTGCTATATAAACTGACTGATCAATATCAAGTCCCTCTACGGAACATTTTTTTATTTGAAAATATATCTTTATGAAATTTGACATGAATTATTGTCCAAGAAAGCGGTTAAGTCTCCGAACTCAAGTCCTTGTACGGAAAACTTTTTTATTTGAAAATATATCTTTACGAAATTTGACATTCAGTGAGTCCACTTAAAAACGGTTTACAAGTGGTACAAGCGCTTTTCAGAAGGTCGAGAAGATGTTGATGACGATGAGCATCCTGGATGTGCGACCACGTCAACAAGCGAAGAAAACATCGAAACAGTGAAAAGTATTGTTCTTGAAAATCTTCGAATCACTATTATGGAAGTTGCAGAGGATGTATCAATCGGCTCATACCATTCAATTATCTCGAATGTTTTAATTATTAATTTTGAGCAAAAGCAATATCGCATTAGTATCTCGCAGGAGTTGTTGAATGACGTCATTCACAATTTTTTCAATCTTTCTTTCTCTGCGACTTTTTCCTATTTCTTAAACTGTAAAAACCAATGAAAGGAAAGCGTTTTGCCACAAATGATAAGATCAAGTCAGAATTGAAAAGAGCTTATGGCTATACCGAAAAGCGCATTTCATTGCTTCGTGGATTGGAAATATGCGTTGGTACAAGTGTATTATAGATATTGATGAAGAAATATAGACTTTTCGAAAAAAATTCAAAATTCATCTTTTCCTTTGAACACACCTCGTATATTATAGCTCCAATCAGAGAATGTTAATGAATAGAGAAAGCGCAAATTTAAATTAATTTTTTTGGAGTACTAATTTGTAGTTTTCAAATGAAATAACATCGAAATATATAATTTCGAAAAGAAAAACACACCACGCAATGTGATAAACGCAGAATATGTTATATTTTGTTTCGGCATCGAAAGCCGAAGTGCGCAACTTTAATCCGCTAAACCTAACCTACTCCCATCTCATATCTCTCCCATGGAACCACCGGATTAAGTATTACTTCATGGGAGGGAAAAGGATATTTAAGTCTTCTCTACGGAACGGACTGACTGACTCCTAAGCTGTTGCAAGTATCTCAGTTTTGTCATAATTAGAGCTGCCGCTTCGCTGACAGCTTTCCATTTTTCAGAAGACTGACACATATGTGTTGTCAGAGTTTTCACCGTTACACTATCGCCGAGTGTAGATTTTTACTTTTCCTAA